CTTTTCATAAATATTAAAAATAAAGGTAATTTACTCTCGTGACATTTTCAGATTTTTTTTATTTTCTGGACACCCTGTACATGAAATGTTAAGTTTCACCATGGCAACCTCATTTTAAATTCAAGCAAAACTTTTTATCAAGTATGACTTTTTTCCGTAAAATGTAAAATAAAAAAGTTTTTCCTCTTATTCGCCCTAATCGCGGACATACTGTATAAAGTGACAATCTATTTTTATAGAAATCACAATTCAGATCTTAGGATACAGATGTATATGTAATTATTAAAACTAATTGTATACTGAAAATAAACATACAGGTTATATACACAAAAATTCAAGCCCACCATGTGCATGTGTACATTGTACGCCTGTATATAATTATTTATTGTAAATTGTAATCTATAGGCTCGTTAGCTCAGTGGTTAGAGCACCGCACTGCATTCCTAACGCGGAGGTCGTAGGTTCGAATCCTACATGAGCCCTCTTTTTTTAAACCATTCCTCACATTTCTTTGTTTCTTGAATTGACTGTTAAGGTTATTTGCATCTAAATATCCTTTGTTTAATTAATTTCATGTCGTCAATTAAAAAAAAATCAAGAAGAGCAAGTCATTAGTAGTAGGAACAGTATAGCTAACTAATTTCATAGAGAATTATAGAATTCTAGTATGCTAAAAATAAAAATATTCATTATTATTAATTATAATGAAACATGACCCACTATTGTGGGTCAACATTATGTTGAAAATTTTCTGAAACAAAATTTGTGACAAGTCAAATTTAACTGTATGTTTCATTCTATTCTAAGAAGGTATGGTCAGATTATTATTAAAAAAAATAGACATCAAATAATAAGTACAAACCGACACAAATAACTTTGCGTCTAAATGCGGTTTTTCGCTAAACGGACAAAACAAAAACAAAACACAAATTTGTGTCGAATAAGACAGAACTGTAATTTTTCGCAAACTTTTTGAAGACTGGCGTGTTTTGCGACAGTTGGAGTTTTGTTTTTCGGGTCCCGCTCGAAAGCGGTCACATCAAAAGTCACATCCAACCCAACGTCTATGTTGGCGTTTTCTTCTTCCCAAAAACAATATTTTAATCATTAATGAGCTATTAAAAAATATATGTGTACGGTTAAGGTGTTTACTTGGCCAGTACACAAACTAACTAACTAAGTAAACACTTTAACCGTACATATGTACACTTACTTTTTTTCCAAGGACTTCAGTATAAACCAGCCATAATTAAGAATAAAAAAATCTTCTTTAAACATGTTTGTTGGCTATTGGAAAAATGTGCTTTGACTTCTTCTCGACAACCAGTGGAAAGGGACCGAAAACAAAAACAAAACTCGAACAAAATGTAGCCTGCTTGATGGAAATAAGAGTTTTGGGTTTGTTTCGGTTTTGTTATTGTTTTTCAGGTTCTAGAAAACACAAAAAGGACATAAACTCAACTGTCCGTTTAGTGGAAAACCGTCATAAGATAACTTGTTTCGTCACGTTTGGGAAACTTTTTATTTCCCAAAATTCGAACTAATGCGATTTCTCTGCACACCAACCACGGCTTTCCTCGATGTTGTCTGCTGTGACTATGGTTGCTAAGAGCGGTTGAGAGTTCCGTTGGAAAAATTCAAAACCTAGTCGAAAATTGCGGTTGTGTTTTGCGTTTTCGACTTCACAGTGATGACGAATTTTATGAACTTATCTGAATTTAATCGCTATCAAGACTAAATTTAGAACAAAGCACGAGTAAAATTCAAGGCCAACAATCGGATGCGCTCGTAATATAATCGAGTATAACTTTTATTTTAAAACTTAATCAACAGGCTCGTTAGCTCAGTGGTTAGAGCACCGCACTCAACTCTTGCCGCGGAGGTCGTAGGTTCGAATCCTGCATGAGCCCACTTTTTTAATTCTTGTTCTCATTTCTTCAATTTTGGAACTACTTTTCAAGTTTTTTTTTTTTTTTTTCATGTAAATATCATTTGTTGAATTTATTTGACTTGTTTCACATGTCAGGCATTACAAAAGAATACCACCAAGAGATGAACATTTTTAAATATTGTATAGAGCTTTCATAAATAATTACAAGCCACGTGACCATTGAGCATAGGCAACCAACAATTGAAGGTTGGTGCTATCAACCGAAGATCCCTAAATCTCAGTGGATTGGTTGAAGGGGTTAAATGTAAGTAACCAAAATTGTTTTTGAAATTGATTAACGTATAACGCTTTACATCACATATAAAAGGAGAAAATTATCAAACCTAAATTTGTTAATAAACAATTTTAAAATTTTTATTACGAAAACAAAAACATGATGGGAACTCATAATATTAAAAAAGTTACATTAATTTATAGACCACTGCTCTATTAACATTACTTCACAGTAATATTAAATAAATTTATTTATAAATTAGTAAGCTGTATTCTCTTTTCGCGATAAAAAATTACATATTACGTTCAAAATGGTGTCACTGGCTATTAGGGTGGCCCAAAAAAAAAAGAAAATTTTTTTTTCGTGCCTCTTGTGAAAATATGTTAGTTTATCATGTTTTATTAGCAAAAAATAAGCAAAAAAAAATTTTTGTAGGAGTCTCAAGATTTTTCCAAAATCGTCAAAAATTGAATTTAAAAAAAAAATTTCTCGTTATTTTATCATTTTCTAGATTGAAAAAAAAAAATCTCGATTCTGAAAATTTTAAATCTATATTTTAATTTTTAAAGGTCACTCATAATTATTTGAACTTTGAAAGTAGTGCATCTAAAATGTTTTCGAGCGACTTCTAAAAATAAATATTAACGAACTAATAATTTCTTTTATTGAATTTGATGAACAAAAGAATAGAAATAAATCACGAGACACTTACAGTTTAAAAAATTAAAAAATTATAAATATTTAATACTCACAGTGCGGTTAGTAAATAAAAATAAATATCCACGAACTAATAATTTTTTTATTGAATTTGATGAATAAAAGAATAGAAATAAATTACGAGACACTTAAAAAATTAAAAAATTATAAATATTTAATACTCACAGTGTGGTAGTAAATTTTGCCTCTTCAAATTTTTTAAAAGAGAATTTTTTTTCTGCTCAAGCCCAATCAAATTTTTCACTTAAATTTAAAAACAAAAATTTGTATAAGCAACTTTCGTGTGTTGATTGAACTTTTTCTATTAGAAAGTATTTAATAGACCTGATCGGTTCAAACGGACATCAGATTCGGATTCAGCGACCCCAAAAACTTATAGATATGTAGATCTACTTTGTTGGCAATTGATTTTCTACATTTGACCTTGAACTGACCTTAACTCAGATCTTATAGGGTCAAATGGACACGGGATTTGGATTCGGCGACCCCAAAAACGTATGGATGTATTGGTTTACTTTGTTGGCAATTGATTCTCTACATTTGACCTTGAACTGACCTTAACTCAGATCTTACAGAGTCAAATGGACATCGGATTTGGATACAGCCACCTCAAAAAACATATAGATACGTAGTTTGTTGACAATTGATTTTCTACATTTGACCTTGAACTAACCTTAAACCAGAACTAATAGTGTCAAACGAACACCGGATTCGGATTCAGCGACCCCAAAACCATAGTCTTGTCTTTCGGACCTGTCACTTTTTTGTGGGCTATGTTATGAATGACCTAGAAATTAAAATATCGATTTGAAATTTTCAGAATGGAGATTTTTTTCAACCTAGAAAATGATAAAATAACGAGAAAAAATTAAAAAGAAAATTAAATTTTTAACGATTTTGGAAATTTTTAAAAATTTGAGCGACCTCAAAAACATTTTTTGGAGCAAATTTTTTGAGGGGCTCTTAAAACATGATAAACTTACATATTTTTACAAGACACGAAAAAAAATGTTTTTTTTTGCGTCATGCACAAATTTACTCTCCTTGCATATATTTACATTTACTTTCCTATGCATATATCTACAAACACAGGTATTGTTCAGTTATATTGTCAATTTCTCCAATTTCTGCTTCTAATTCTTCTGCTATTTTAAAAATAATATTTTTCAAATATCCAAATAAAGAGTAATCTAAAGGAGCTGGATCTGGTAACCTCGCTGGCCACAACCTAATCAGTCGATTTCATAAAATTCTTTCAAATATTGAATTGTTGCTTTTGCAGTGTAAGCGGTTGCCCTATCTTGCTGAAAATAATCTACTTGCAAGTCATCATGTAGTTGTGCTAAAAATGGCTTGATATATTTCAGCATTTATTGTTTTTTAGAAAAATATAGGCCTCATCTTACTGATATCGCTATCCAAACGCCTACTTTTAAGGGGTGTAAACCGGTTTCTACAAACTACGCAGGGCAGATTCTATAACTCTGGCTATTTAAATAACCTTATATGTAAAATTATACTTCGTTGGTAAAAAACGACAAATTAAAGTTAATTTATTTTAGAATTTGAGAATATTTGCACCAACTGTCGGAAAATGAATTGAAACGATAACGTCACGGACGACGGACGCAACTGAAAAATGCACTATGTCAATTTAGCGTGATCAGTCGTAATGATTCGCTTACAATGAACAGTAACGACCCGTTGCGTATACGCTCGAGATAATCCGATCGTGATTGGCTGAATTAAATGTCGTGAAAAATTATCCACCAGTCATCTGCCGGTAAAATGAAATATGTTTTAACGTAATATTGATCTTATTGTTTTACCAAAATTGAATTGTCAAAACGAAGGAAATAAAATTGCTCTTCCAAACAAAGTTAATGGTCACGTGGCTTATAATCATTTATGATGGCTCTGTATTATGTAAACACCTTGTATGTCGAAGACATTCTGTGATTTTTAAAGTTTGGTCGACGATTTTCTTGCACCCTGTATATAACAAATGTTTAAATTTTGTTTTATTTGGAATACCCTGCTCATTATTCAAACAAAGCGTGTGGAGTGTTTATACGAAATCCCATCAGATAAATCTGTCACTGATAAAAATTATCGCACCAAAACTCAGTCATGTTAAGTCCTCGATGGTGTCGGTGTTAAACAAAGAAGAAAAATGGTTCTGTCAGCGCCTAAAAAGAACTTAGGCAAAGTTGCAGCGGTTTTGGGTATAGTACGTATTTTTTTGACTAAGTTGTTACTGTTGAGTATTTGTCAGAAATATCGCTAATTCCAATGAGGTAAACAATAATTAAATTCATTACATTTACAGTACTTTATAAGTTTACCATCATTTTCTAAAAAAAAAGTTAATTGTCCTTTAATTAGTTCTTTAAATACTTTTGTATGTATGTATTTTTTGTACTGTATGTTACAACTTCAAGAATAAATGTAACAATATCAATAACTGTTTTCAGTTGGAAGGTTTAGCATGGGTCTGTATGTCTTTAATATCAATCATATTACATTACTGGAAACCAGAACTAGAAATAGGCCCCACTTATGGACAATATGTTGGTTCCTTGCTGTATCACAAGTTTATAGTGGGTAAGTAATACTTGGCAATGATTTCACCAAGTGTAAGATTTTCTTATCTTCTATTTTCAAAAGTGGTCATGAACATTTTCTATATTTGAACAATGAATGTTACATTATGAATAGACACATAAAAGTTAAATAAAATTTGCATCCAGTCCAACTCGATGAGTATTCATTAAGTGAATTGAGCGTCACGAATTTCCATATTTTTTGTTATAAAAGTTCTAAGAAACATCTGTAGGCTATCTTTAAATTTAATCCATTATTGCAATCGAATTGCTAATGTCAACATTTCCGATTAATGAACAGTTTATTGTCACTGAAATTATCTTATCCCATTAGGCACGAGTGGATGGGTTTGATTTTATAGAAAATATGTCACGATTCTAAACATAACTACTGTCAACTCGAAAATGAACACATTTCTATTTTTATTTATACATGATATCCTTTATCTTGACTACCAAACTTCTACAGGATATAGTGCTTGGCTGAAAGTAACACAAGAGACTCAAACGAATTAGGGAGGTTAATTCTGTCCGAGACCTTACGTTCTTGAACCTTACCCGTATATAATGTTTTCGTTTTAATAACTTTCAAAACAGTTGAAATACCATTGCAAAATTCGATACATATTCTTGACTATTAGTGATTTGTAGTTATGTTGCCTTTGATATAGGTGAGCATTACTTTGTCATTGGATTGAGACTGACGTGCTTTCTTGGGGAATGAAGATCCTTTGCCAATCCATTGTGATGATTGAATTTTTGCCTCAATGTCATAGCTGTAAACCCAGGTTTAGTTCTCGTTTGAATGAATGTGCGTTGTTCAAGGAGTTTCCCACAAACGTCCAAACGATCTTCTTTCTGTTGTTCGGTCATCAAACGGGGAACAAATTTTACTGTAACTAGATGCATGTTCAATTTTCCAGTCAAAATTTCATGGCATGACCCAACTGAGACGCTAATCTCTTCTGCAATTTATCTAGCAGTCAATCGGCGATTTACGCGCATCAGATCTCTGACTTTCTGGACATGGAAATCATCAGTTGAAGTCGAAGGCCTTCCTGGTTCAAGATCATCTTCAATTAACTAACAACTACTTTTAAAACATTCATTACGTACGACTCAGAGCATCATCTCCGTAAGCTTGTTTCAAAAGTTAAAAAGTTTTCGTGAAAGTTTTCTCCAGTTTCACTCAAAATTTGACGTTGGATCGTTGTTCCAGAAAATCGCACATTTCAAAAATCGTCACTAACACCCGAATAACATTATTATTAAAACTAAATGAGATATCAACAATTAAGGACATGGGGTTCGGAGAAGGTTATGTGCAACGCAATGCTGCCAACCGCATATCACGAAATATCTGCATTAGCGCGTAATAAAATAAGTTTGGATATTTTCTGATCAGACGTCGTAATACTGACCAAGAAACCCCTATAAATTGTTTTTGTAAAAAAAATAATTGTAGTTATTTTCAGTTTGTTTAATTGTGTTGTAAACTCATAGATATTAAAATAAGTAAAAAAATTCAAAATTCAAAATTCTAAAACGGTTTGTTTTTTTCCATAGAAATGCCATTGGTATTTAATGAGAGGCACTAATAGAATTTGCAGAATACTCAGTGACGTCGGAATTATAGGGGTCCTATTGGTAGTGACCATCTGTATTTCCGCCACTGGTTAAAGTCAACTTTAATTTCTAATTTGATAAATTAGTACCCCAAGTTTCGTCAATTTACGTCAAAAATCCTCAGAAGCTGTGACTGACTGTGCTTTTAATTTCAACACCCTGTATCTCAAAGACGAGACGAACTACGGACTCATATACATATGAAATGTTTTACTTGAAACTATTTTTCCTATCACTTAGTGAAGTTTTCCGAAGAAAATCTGTATCTATTACCCGAGTAAGATGTTTCCCTTAAATGTTAAAATTCTGTGATAACCTCAGTTAACGATTTATCAATTAAACTTCCTGTAGATATTTTTAACATCTGAAGCATTGTGACATTTTTAGTTCAATATTTATTTCATAAAGCAAGATGTCGATTTCAAATCCATTAATTTTATAAATAGTCGTGTTGCTATAATATTTGAACATCGATGAATTGACGTCCGCTATTTTATTGTTGAAATGTGCAGGGGACAGCAGTAGAAAGGGTGTCTCGTCTCGTGAGTCAATTCTTTTCATTAGCAACATTGTTTTTTTTAAACAATTTGGGTCGAAAATCAGTTTTTCCAGTATATTGTAAAAACTATTGATTTTAGAGAAACGTGTTCAACAGACGAAATATGCACAATAAAAAGACCCACAAAATGCCGCCTGATAAATTAAGATCGGATAAATTGTTTAAAAGTTATTGCAAAATAAATGTGGAAAACAGCATTTTTTTAATTATCCATAAGTTGATTGTTATTTGTTGGAATTTTATAAATATGCCTAAAAGTTGTGAGTTTTATTGTTCTGCAAAACTGTGTGAAAGATGGGCGCTGTGGGCCTAATAGTTTTTGCAAAATTCAATTTATTTATCCTGTCAGGTAAAAATGCATAACTTTAACCTTCTGCCTCCGAAAGTTATTAAGGAAAAAGGGCTTAGAAAGTCGATTTTTTAAGCTTAAGGAAGTTTATCGGGTACGGGGGTACGTCTAAAAGTCTAACGAGAGTTTCTGTACATTCGCTAGTGACTAAAGTAGTAAGCCTTTAGATTTGGCAACGTTGCACTTGGCTGGCTTTGTTTGGATGCCTAAGCTTGAATTATACACCATATGACACACCTGCGAATTTCAAATAATACGCTACGTCGGACGTTAAGTTAATCAACAATAGCAGTCTGAAGTAAAATTATTTATTATAAATTATGTATCTTACAAGTACCTAATCGATTTCTACGAACTGTCATACGGTTCCTTAGATATCGGTTTCTTATTTATACAAGTTGCTGTAAAAACTGTTTGTCAATTGCTGCGCATTCTAAGTGGAAAGACCAAAAAAATCTGCATTCTCATAAGACCTGTACTAAATCGTGAAAAATTATTTTATTAATATCTCGTCTTAGGTACACAAACTAGCCATAATATTTTTTTTTGAGGATTTTCTTCATATTAATAAGCTTATATTAATTATTTTATGAATATTTGTTCGTCAATTCTAAATCAGATAAACCTCCTTAAAACCTAACGTAGCTTTGTATTTTAATGAAATTTTGATTTATTGCCAGGACCCTTTTGTATGTCTTTTTATTGCGCATATTTTGTCTAAATTCAATACCTAGTTTTTCCAATATATTGGAAAAACCCCTTCTCCTACACATTTCTACAATAAAATAAGGGACGTCAATTCATCGAGTTTTCTAGTCCATTTACTGCCAAAGCGACGCGTTTAAACTACAGATTTGAAAATGGAAAAAAGTAGTGTGAAAAAAGGGCTCATGTAGGGATCGAACCTACGACCTCCGCTGTTCTAATGGAAGCGCGGCACTCTAACCAACTGAGCTAACGAGCCTTGGCGTTCGCCACGACTATTTCTATTTAGATCGCAGAAATACTACAGTTAACCTTGGGTCAACTCATATCTAAATTTATAGACACATCGTGAATCATCTATCGCACGTCATTTTCTGCGGAATATCAATTCATCAATCGAAGTTAAATAAAATTATTCTATACTGTTTATGTTCTGAAGAGGAAAAATATATTTTCTATAATTTGCTAGAAACTACTTAACAAAATGTTGTACCTACTCTAAATATACAGGGTAGCCCAATAGTGTGACAAAGTTCATTATCTCCCTTATTATAAAGATTTGAAAAGAAATATTTTATGGGAGTGATGTACTTAAAAAAGTTCCCACTTTAAAAATATTTTGAATTATACAGGGTGATGTATTAGAGCGGAGCAGTTTAGCGAAGGACATTTTCTCATTTTTTTTAAATGAAACAGCCGGTATATTACTTTATTTTTGGATTAATATGTCAATTATCTACAACTTCTATAAATAATACCCTATGCCTAAAATTACTATTTTCGCAAATATTGGTACTTTTCTAGCAAATTTTACTTTTTATTGCTCTAGTAGGCCATGAGTTTGACATAAAATAACAAAATCTGCAAGTTTACTGTTGTTGTTTAATTGTCAGTAGTGTAAACTGACAAGTGCTGGGATGTAAGTTTAAAAATACTTCAAAATGAACTTTTCTCAAGCAGAAATCCTTTATTAGTAACACGAATTTATTGTCAACGCTATCCAAAGGGAAGGCAGCCCAGTGTACGAACTTTTAGAAAAGTAATGGATTGTTTTGTTAATTCCGGTACTGTAGCTTATTGTAATAATGTTAAGAAAAAAAGAACATTCACTGAAGAAGATGAATTAAACGTTCTTTTGGCTGTCACTGAAGACCCTCATATTAGTCAAGAATAGATCACAGAATATTAAAGGACAATAAAATGCATCCATTCCATGTCCAATTATTGCAGGAATTAAGTGATGAAGATTGCAGAAGACGGTTAGAGTTCTGCGAGTGGGTTCAAATCAAAATTATAACCTAGATTTTTTGAAAAATCATTTATTGCAATTACTTGCTCATGTCCCTAATGAGATTAAAGAACGAATGTGGTTTCTCCATGATGGTGCTCCAGTGCATTTTACACGTCCCATCACTGATCTTACAAAAATAAATTATGGTATATGAGGGTTTGTAAAAGATAATGGATATAGAACATCTCCCACTACCAAAGATGATATGAAAATGCGAATAAGGAATTGTTTCCAAAGCATTACCGTTGAAATGTATAGGAATTTGAGTATATCTTTTGAGAACCGTAGTGACTTATGTTTTCAATTTACCGAAAGACACTTTGAACATTTAGTTAGATAGTTAAATTGCTTATTTAGTTAGTACCTATTAATATTTCTTTTCTCGTTATACTAAGTATTTAATTTATTACTAACACTTCTTCGATTCTGTTTATTTGTAGTAATTCCTTGTTCTTTTAAATTGTTAAAATATACTTTTAATCATTAAATTTAGCATTTTTCTATTGTTTGACTAACTTACTTATTATTTTGAAAAAAAATATATTTTTTACCCGGCCTGGACTAAGCCCCTGACAACTTTTTGTGGTTTTTATCAATTTCTTCTTAATTACCATAAAGTTAGCCCCGGATAAAAACAATTAGCTTAACAATTTTATAATACTATAAATTATAAATTGTGTTATTTTATATCAAACTCATGCCTACTAGAATAATAAAAAGTAAAGTTTGCAAAATTAAAGGGGTTTTGCTAGAAAAGTGCCAATTTTTCCGTAGCGATTTTAGGCATAGGGTTATTATTTACAAAAGTTGTAGGTAATTAACATATTAATCCAAATATAAAATAATATACCGGGTGTTTCAGTCATTTAAAAAAATCGAGAAAATGTCCTACGAAATTCGCTAAACTGGGACTTATGTATAGAACACCCTGTACAAAATTATAAAGATTTTGCTATTTTGTTGTTTGTCCACATCTTTGATCCACATGCCTACAAAACATTTTTTTCTTAATTACTGGTAGTACCTGCACAGTGGATAGATTTACAGAACCCTGACCCAGCAAAAATTATCTTATTTTTTCAAATAACGGCATCGCCTCATCGAATACAAAAAACAAAGAATTGCTGGAAAGAGAATTTTACAGAGTGTTCCATTTAACAGAAACAATCTTAGAGATGCTCCGCTCTAATGCATCACCCTGTATAATTCAAAATATTTTTAAATTGTGAACTCTTTTAAGTACATCACTCCCATAAAATATTTCTTTTGAAATCTTTATAATAAGGGAGATATTGATATTTGTCACACTATTGGGCCACCCTGTATGTACGAGGTATTATTTCTTGATTTTAGATACATGTTCATTTTTGAAAAATTTGAAAATGGATTTTAAAAATGTAAATATGAAGATTTAATTGATGGTGCAAAAAAGTAACTCTTTACTATACTCATATTTAATTAAGTATTTGGCTGTAATACTAATTAATATAGTAATACCAGATATACTACAAGTTCTAAATTATAACAGAACTAAAAAACAGTTTTTTTTTTCTGCTTCATTTGAGTCTCTACTTTTTTTATTTACAGATGACATGGAACTGCTGGAAGGAACTTTTATTATCACTGGAACAGCGTTCAGCGTTTTCATGTGGATTTACTTTCTTCTGAGCGTTCTGTGGTTTTCTATATCCGTAGACCAAATCACAGGTAAAGTACTAAAAATATACCTTTACATCACTTTTTTCTTTATCTAATTATCTAGAACGTTGTTAAGTGACAACATACTTCTACTGTAGATAAAATCTGCACTGATACAGGTATCGCGATCATACGAATTTTAGTCAGAATTAAAAAAAAAGTGCCTTTCAGTTATTTCTCATGTAAGATATAAAAATACTTGATAACTTCAATCAAATGTTACATTTCACATTTTGGACGGGTATTGTTTACCTTATATAAATTCCAGGCATTAAAATCTTGAAGCTACTTCAATTAGTTTATCTAAAGTAAACTTCAAACGCACCGCTAAACATATAAATAACAAGGTATTTCTAAAAGTAATAGCAAAGTTAATATAGGGTGTGCTCCTTTCAACTTATTTGTAATAGTTTCCAAACTACATCCATCCACATCCCAAAAAAGGGTAAATAACATCTTTTCAAGTGTAGATTTGCACTTGAACTTCGTTTGATTGGACTTAATCTAACTTTTTTTTTCGCTGGTGTTGGCGAATATGTAAGTGTGGAAAGTGTAGTGAGGTGGAGCGGGGAACCTTCAAAAGGGTCCCCACTCGATGAGTTCGATTGAGCGGGGAACTGTGGGATTTTTACCCACTAAAACTATCCTAGGATCACCATTTATGCGATAACCGTCGCCCCATATGTCATTTTCCAAGTTATTGCATATGTCTTTCCATACCTTATCTTTCTCCGTTTTGATAAGTTTCTTCAATTTCTTTTTTGCCTTCTTATAATAAGATTGTAGTCGCTCGTTGATATCCCTGTCATTGTTTCTCATTAGAGTTCTTCTTTTGCCTATGCAATCATTACGTGTTTCCTCGATCTTGATTGTCCGCCAATATGGCTGTACTTTTCTGAGGGTCCACCCGTTAGCGATCGACCGTTATTATAATGTAGTATAACAACCCCGGGTTCGAACGAAAAAAAGAATAAACGTAGTTGTGGCCAATAATGTGTGATCGTTATATGGAATACCTACGTTGTATACATCTATTTTTTTAATTGACCGGAAGGCGCTGGCTACTAACTTTAAAAAGGGGAAGTATGGTTTAATTTTATAAAACAAAAGCAGAGTAAATACACCTAACTTTATTATTTTTGTACAACAGTCTTCAAATTAAACATGTTACAAATAGAAAGAACAACAAAAACATTAACAACCATTTAACATAAAATGAGAGTGCCAGGCTCACCTAGAGCTCCTGTGGGGAAAGAGCATGGCAGAGAAACCCACGATCGTTGCTCTAACTACCCAAATATAAATACAAAACAACCGCTAACAAAAGGCATAAATTAGGATCCTTTGCTAATGATAATTAACGCCCGACTCATTTAATGTGTCACTAAATGTCACCTCACTCGAATTAGACATACACACTTCCAAGTAAAACTGAAGAGGTTTGGTGTTAGTTAGCCGGCAGGGCCGGAAGGTACTGGAGTCCCATACGGGAGGCAATCCAGCTATGAGTTGAGATTTCGGAAGATCTGTTTTAGCAATTCTTTTTTTGTATTTAATTATTCTTTTTGCAGATTCATTCCTCACGGGCGAAAATGTTAGTAAATTCAACAAGGCTCTTATATGCGTATGACATAAAGTGAGCACAAGAAATGCTTTATTATTTGTTTTTCGAACAATGTAATCATGGCAAAACAAGTTAAATGTGAAACAAAGGAGTTGTTATTGCAATATCTGGGCAGTCACGAATTGTCGTGATATATATTTTAACATGTAATAAATAATGAGCAATCTCTAATAATAATAATTGTAACAATTTTACCTTAGAAAAATATATGCCCTTGAGCATAAAGCACTGGTAGCTAAACATACAGAGAAGAATTGTTATCATTAAACATCTATAAGCATCACAATCATAAGATTACATAGAACAATTAACAACAAAGTACTTAGAGAATATTACCTACTAATTAATACGGGTTAAACTCTTTGATGATGATTAAACACTATTTTGCCTCACTGCCCGCAGATTGTCTTCCTCCCATCTCCACCCTGTTCTCACTTCAACTATCTAGGCTTCCTTCCAGAATTCCCCACCTAAGCGTTTGTTTTGGCGCTTCCTTCTACCAACTGTCAATATTACGTTTTCATTATTATGCAACACTCACGTAACAGGTGACATTGAAATTGATACGATAAGTATGGTTTTGCACAATAAACCTTCTTTAACAAATTAAGACAAGTTTCAGGCGTTACTTTTTCTATTGAAAGTAATCCCTCTAATTTATTACTCATCTCTCGTTGAAGGATGACGGGATTCAGTGGGGTTTTTGGAGAAGTCTTTTTCAAAATATTACTAACTTCACATGTCATTAGTTGATGGTCACTTAGTCCATCTCGCTTGACCCATCAATCCTACTGGAAATTTTATGTAGCATTCATGGGTAGGAAAGATTATCTCATTTAATTTTTCCTCTACAAATACAGTAACACAAATACGATCGACTTACTTCCCTGTCTTTCTGTTTCAGCTATATACGCCAACAAAAACAGACAAGTGGTGGTAATGAGGTTCTGGGGAGGTTTAACCTTGCTCATTTCCCTTATTGATCTATTGTTCACGATGCTGATGGCCATGGACTACACCACTTGTGGAGTAACTTCGTCACAAATCATCAACCAAGCGCAATACTTCTGCTACCTGACAGTCGGAATAGTGATGACTATAGGCGCCAGGGGATACACCCTTTGGCTCATTAACGTCATATTCGCAATCATGTTGATAACGATATTAAAAAATGAGACAAGTACACGAGTAAGTAGAATGTGGTAGTAGGTTAAAAATTCCGAAATTATTCCACAGATATACAGGGTGTTAAAAAAAGAGTGTAAAATATTTAAGGAGGTAATAGTATGAACCAAAAGTCAGAAAAGTCTCAATAAACGGTTGCGGAGATATGGAATGTTTTATGTTTTTTAACCCCTTTTTATATTTTGCAAAAACGTTGTGTATTTTCTTATAATAGTTGGTTGATGTTTAGTGAAATAAACAGTACGTATTTGACAGTTGTTCTCAGTGCACAAGTTTTCTTTCGCTATGGCTGGTTACTCTAACGCAGAATTAACAGACATGCATTTCATGTATGATCGTGCTAATTGGAACGCCACCGAAGCGCGACGTCTTTATGTTGACGCTTATCCAAATCGACAGATTCCTTCACAACGCATGTTTGGAAGAATTCACCAAAGATTGCGTGATACCGGTTCCTTGAGCAAACAGTGCCATTTATCCGGAAGACCAAGGTCGGTATCCACTCCTAGAGCAGAAGAAGAAATTCTAGCACTGGTAGGGCAGAATCCAGGTACGAGTGTGCGGAGAATATCAACCGAGGTAGGAATTAGTGGTCCTCTTGTTTGGGGAATCCTTCACGAGCAACTGCTTTATCCATACCATGTGCAACGAGTACAGGCCCTAAATCCAATAAGTGATCATCAAGCACGTTTGGTTTTTTCCGCTGGATTCTACGTCATGATGCTGAAGACCCTCGTTTTCTTGCAAACATTCTTTTTACTGATGAGGCCGGGTTCACAAGAAATGGAGTGTTTAATTTTCACAATACGCATATTTGGGCCGACGAAAATCCTCATGCTCTAATAGAATCTGGACATCAGGCACGTTTTTCATTAAACATTTGGATGGGTATTGTAGGTTACAGGTTTCTAGGTCCTGTTGTTTTACCAAACCGATTAACAGGCGCTGCTTACCTCAACTTTCTACAGAACACACTGTATGAGTTTTTGGAAGACATTCCTTTGAATCAGAGGCAACAAATGTGGTTCCAGCATGATGGTGCTCCAGCTCATTTTTCCATGGCCGTTAGAGAGCATTTACACCAAACTTTTCCACATAGATGGGTAGGAAGGGCCGGACCTGTTTTATGGCCTCCAAGATCGCCTGATCTGAACCCTCTAGATTTCTTTGTTTGGGGATATTTGAAGACATTAGTGTATGGTACTCCTATAAATAGCCTGGAAGAGCTACAGCTACGGATTAATCAAAAGTGTTAAGAAATCCAAACCAAGGAGGGTGTTTTCGAAAGAGTTCGAATATCATTGAGACGAAGATGTCGTGCCTGCTTGGAAATGGACGGAGGGCACTTTGAACATCTTCTGTAACTTTGTTTTTTGTTTGTTAAAAGCTTCCTTTGTCGGTTTATTCCTAATAAAATAAAATGTTTGAAAAAGCGAATAGTGGTCCATATCTCCGCAACCGTTACTTTGCGGACCCATGTTTATTAAGACTTTTCTGCTTATTTTGGTTCATACTATTACCTCCTTAAATATTTTACAATCATTTTTTAACACCCTGTATAGCTGATATTCTCAAGAAAAATAACATTTAAAACACTCTTTTTTATTTTATTCCTTAAGATGTCGATTTCGCAAGTTTTTTGTTTCTTTAATTATTTATATAATCTTTAATCAGTGATATTGTGTTCAACAACTACCCTGCGGATTAGTATACCGAATGACAAATTACACCCGCAATATCTGGTACACAGCTAAAATCATTCGTCAGCAGAATCGCCAGTTTCTATCTTAATAGTTCTTATCAGTATGCCTTAGGTGAAACAACCGACGAATGATGTACCTAGCTATTTTGATGTTTATCAACAGACGTGACGTGGTATGGGTTTTTTCCCAGTTAATTTACAGAAGTTGACATTCAGTTGCTCAATATTTTCAATTGTTTGTTGATTAAATTTTGACATTGATTAATAAAAAATTATTTTTTAATATACCTAGATGATGTTTTGCAGTCGAACTTAAAACTGCTATTAAAAGATATTTCTTTATTTTTTTTAGTCACAAGAAGACAACACTTCATCCCTATAGTAAGTAGTTCTTGTAATTCTTTCGGCAATTATTTATTTAATTTTTTTGTAGCTCTTCTATACCAAGAGCAAGGCTTGCTAAGATTTTGGGGCATAGTAGATGATCTCCCTCCTGTTGAATATTGACTAAGTAATTTATCTAATCAGAATATAGGTATATAGATAATTTTTTATTATATTATCTCAAAGAGCTATTACAATTTTTAATTTAATAAACATTTTTTTAATTAAATAGAAGTTATATTGTTTTATCTGCAAACAATTTTGATACAGATAAGCTGACTACATGTAAGTAACAAGTCGATATAGACATAGGAAAAGAAGGAAAATATTAGAAAAAGAGAAATTAAGAGCTCTGTTCACATGAATTAGTGTTAATAAATTTAAACATTTAGAATTAAATTATTGACTATTAAACAACTTATGGAACCCCGATGTAAGATCTCTACGCTCTAAACAGTACCAAAAATATACAGGGTGTCCAAAATTTGAGACACATTGTGGGGTGCGGGTTATACAGAGTGTTTATTAAGTATTTGTACAAACACAAAAAGTCAATCTTTGACTAATTTTAAGATAAAAAGTTCATATGAATATGGGTCCGTAACGGCTTAGTTCTTGAGATACAGAGCATAAAAAAAAATTTTTGTTTGGTATTTTGATAAAATTGTTTATGACTGTTCAAAAACACAAAAATTGTAGAAAGAGATTTCTACTTAGTACCTACTGAAAGAGCTAGAAATATTACAATACTTTCCAACTTTCCACTTATTGTAACCGTTATATTGACCTCAATAATAATAGTTGGGATCACTTACCTTTTTTTTTATTTTTATGGAAACACAAGGAAAGATAGGTGCATCGATAATATATTCATTAATTTCACAACTGAAAGTACATTTTCTGTAGTGGACTGTAATTTATCGGATCATAAAGATATTATTATTAACTTAGTTCTTTGTGAATCAAACATTATGGAGAAACCTGCAACAAAAGTATGTAGACCTATTACTAAGGGGGGTAAGATTAAATTTTACAACTTAGTTGAAAATATTGATTGGACATTCGTTAACAATGTTGATCTAGATATCAATGTCAAATTTCAAATTTTTTTAAATAAAATAGTAGAATGTAATAATTCAGCTTTTCCTGAAAAAAAATATAGTAATAAACTCAATACAGCCGGACTTCCGTGGTTTAATAATCATCTAAGAGTTATGCGTGAACAACTTAACTTCTTTATTATGATATACAAAAAAAACCCATGTTCAGAAAATAAATTGAGGAGAAATATCTATCGCATGCAGTACAAATCTGAAATAAAAAGAGCTAAGTGTAAGGCAAATGAGAAACTGTTAAAAAATGCTAATAACCCTAATAAGTGTATGTGGGATATTATAAACAAGCAAAGAAAAAAAGTAATGTTACCAAAAATAAGTCCAACCGTAACGGATATATTTAATGAATATTTTACGACAGCGGCTGCAAAGGATTTGGAAGCCCGTAAACTATGTTCTCAGAAAGATACTCTAAATCCATACTTTAATTTTGATTATAACAAATTACCCAATAATACTTTTAAATTTTCTGAGGTAACGTACATTGAAGTAAGAGACATTATTACAAACCTTAAAAGTAAAGCTACTAAAGATATATATGGCTTAAGTGTGAAAATCATAAAAATTATAAAGAATCTCATAGTGTATCCATTAACTAAACTAATAAATGAATGTATCTTCCAAGGAATATTTCCTAATATACTAAAGGTGGCAGTAGTTTCACCAATATTCAAAAAAGGTAACCTTGATGACCCAGCAAATTATCGACCGATATCGGTGCTTCCAGTTCTCTCAAAATTATTAGAAAAATGTTTGTGCAATAGACTGACTACGTATTTTGAGTCAAATAAACTCCTCACAGAATGTCAACATGGTTTTCGAAAGAATCATGATACTACAAGTGCAATACTGGCCTTTGTAAATAATGTTCTAGACGCATATGAAAATCTTGAATTCTGTGATACTATATTCTTGGACTTAAGTAGGGCTTTTGACTCTGTGTCACATGACATCTTAGTTGAGAAGTTGGGAAAATATAGACTTGGTGGATGTGATTTAAAAATAATAAAATCATTTTTAGCTAATAGAAGTCAAGTAGTAAAAATTAATAATGAACTATCTGACAGGAGGGATGTGACAATAGGTATACCGCAAGGTTCGGTATTGGGACCCTTGTTATTTTTAATTTATAATAATGATATGCCTTTATCAAAGACTTTCCTGACATATGTCTTGTATGCCGATGATACCACCATTTCTATCAGATCTAAAGATATAATTGATGTAGAGACTCGAAAAAATGAAGCTCAATCAGGAGCAGAAAAGTGGTTTGCTTGTAACAATCTTATATGTAACAGAAATAAAACACAACGAATGATGCTTACGCTGCGTGATTATGATGTTTCCGGTGATGAAGTACCCGCTGTAAAATTCTTGGGTGTCCTTTTGGATCCCCATCTGAGGTGGAATATCCACATAGATGGGATTTGTAAAAAACTGAGTAGTGGTGTATTTGTTGTTCGTAATCTCTCAGGTTCTGTGTCCACTAGTGTATTAAGATCTGCATACTTCTCCTTGTGCCATTCAATTATGAGTTATGCAATAATAGTCTGGGGTCATGCCGCAGATTTTGATAAAGTATTTGCAATTCAAAGAAAATTAATTAGAATCATAGCTGGACTGGGTTATATGGATGATTGTAAAAATGCATTCATCACATATCAAATATTAACTTTACCCTCATTGTATATTTTGGAATGCCTGACATACGTTAAATCAAACTTAGACAGCTGTCCCACCTATGCAAACCAACACAGTTACGATACAAGAAACAAAGATAATATAATAACTCCATACTATAGGCTAAATAAAACACAAAACACCCCAAATTATCTGGCAATTTTGATGTATAATCGGTTACCATCACAAATTAAATATATTAAATGTAAGACATCCTTTAAGAATACGGTGAAGAGGTTTCTCCTGGGGCAGGCATTTTACCACTATAGGGAATTCTTGTCATGTAACGATTTACACTTTATAAGCTGAGCATGATTATATGTGATCTAGAGTTTGTTTTTGTGTGACGTCTGTTATATTTTGTGATGCGCAGATGTCTGTGCTTGTCATACACTGTTATACATTTAAATTAGTTTTAAGTATTTTTAGTACTTTTATTCTGACTTGTGTAAGTACTTGTTACAGTAACACCAACAAACTATTATTATTATTATTATTATTATTATATTTCGAAATACACAAATTTGTCCCTAGATTTAGCAAACTATCCGTCGGAACACCTTTTATAATTATTGCCTTAAGATAAAACCCGCAAACTTCTCCTGTTAGAGTATGTTTGCGTCCCTCTGGATTATCGCGCATCTGCGACCTCAAACTAAATCAGAAGTTTAACGTAGTAATTTTGAATGGGTAAACCGGAAGTGGGCAAGGCAAAGCTTACGGAAGGGCAGCTGCTCCCGCCGCACTTCCTGAGACGGTCGCCTTTGCTCCGGGTCAATTTTGCAAATTGACAAATGGAACTCTTTGTCAACATCAGGAAAGACTCCGTAAGGTACACTGACAAAAGTTGTGGAAATTCACATAGATTTTTTACATATTTGGAATGGTTTTTATATGCTGAAAATGTAAATGAAGAACGTACATAATACATCGTGTAGAATTACATACTTAAGTTACTTTGTACTGTCACATTTTAAAATGTATCACTCTAAATCTTTAATATAACGAGCGTTCAAATAAAAACGTGGTCGAAGTTGGCTCTGACACATTGGACGTAGGGCGTAGCTTATAGCGACCAACTTAACCTCATTTCTCAACGAGCTGTATAGCAGCTGTCAGTTTCAATAACGTTAATGACTATATAACTTTATTTTAAAGAATAATCGTGATAACAATAACAAACAATTAAAGGAGCTGCGGAAAGTGTCCCCCTCCTTGTTATAACAATAAATTAAAGCAGCTGCTGAAAGTGTCCCCCTCCTTGTTCCAAGCACTTTTCACACCTGTTCCTCAAAGAATTAAAGACATTTTCTAAGATGCTCGGGGTATTGTTAATTTCACGAATCTTGTCTATAAGTCGAGCCTGCAGATGGTTTAAATCAGGAATAGGCAGTTCAAAAATAGTGTTTTTAAGGTAAGGCCACAAAAAGAAATCACACGGCGTAATATCACATGACCTCGGTGGAAATTCATGTTCAGCATTGAGACTTATTAGTCGATTTTGGAAAACTTCCCTCAACATATTCATCGTCTCGCCTGCCGTATGTGCCCTTGCGCCATCTTGTTGAAAGTAAAAGTTTGTAATTTCGTTTTCTTCCAGCTGGTTAACAAAAGGAGCGATAATTTCTTCTCTATACCTTTGCGCAGTAAGAGTACCATTAAAAAAAATAGGTCCATAAATCCTCCTTCGATTGAGAGCACACCAAACTCCAATTTTTTGAGCGTGTAGAGGGCCCTCGACAAAAAAGTTATCTGGTTTTTCAGAAGACCACATTCTCATATTCTGTGAGTTTACGTAACCACTTAAATGAAACCAGGCTTCATCAGAAAAAAAGGTGATATTATGAAGTTCACCGTAGTTGTTTAAAAACCATTCACAAAATACAGCCCGTCGCGGAAAATCAACTTCATGAAGTTCTTGCTGACAAGTTAAACGATAGGAGAACAAACGCAAATCTTTTTTTAACACTGTGTGGCAGGTACCGACTGATACTCCCACCATTTGTGATAAAACACGTACAGAAGTTCTTGGCGCATTTTCCATTATTTGTTGGACATTTTCTTTTAATTCTTCAGTCCGCTTTTTAGGTCGGCCGCTTCCTTCTTTTCTTGTTACACTGCCCGTTTCACGAAAAACATTAACACAACGCTGAACTGCACTTTGAAAAATTTTGTACTCAACAACGCCGGGAAATTGATTTTGAAATTCTATGAAACATTCCTCAATAGAATACTTCCATATTCCATCAATCTTGCGTCCATTTCTAAAGTAGGACTCTATGATAAACACTTTTTGTTCTTGAGAAAACACCATTTTAAACGCTTTTTAAAACTAAAATATTCAAATTGATAGCGGCGATATAGCGCTTTGACAGATGACGTTTAAGTTCATTTGCTATACGCAACGCCCTGCTTCCAAATTTTCAGAA